ATGGCTGTTTTTTTATCATGTACCTAAAATACATAAAACCTTAATAAACCCTCCAGGATGCCCAATAATTTTGGGAATTGGCTCCTTGACCTCCAATTTGTCAGAGTACGTAGATAAGGTTTTACAGAACATAGTCCCCAAATTACAGTCTCATTTAAGGGACACTACTCATATTCTTAAAATTTTATCCAATATAGAATTGAACAGTGAATTTATTTTAGTAACAGCAGATGTCACATCGCTATATACAGTTATTGAACACTTACAAGGCTGTAAAGCGATACAATATGCACTAGCCACTTATTCTGAACTAAAAAATGATCAAATTAAGTATGTGGTATTATGTGTAGCTTTTATTCTCAGCCATAATTTTTTCTGGCTGAGAATAAAGAAAAACTACCTCCAAGTGGAAGGCACGCCCATGGGGACCAGATTTGCGCCAAGTTATTCTAACTTATTTATGGGTAAATGGGAGGATGAGCACATCTGGTCCAATAACCCATTTGGCACAAATCTGGTCTCATGGCATCAATACATAGATGACTGTATTTTTATCTGGAAAGGCAATATTTTAACATTGGAAAATTTTAAAAAGTTATCGCAATTTTAAGCCCTATAATCTTAAATTTACTTTTAACCAATCAACAGACAAACTGGAATTTCTAGATTTGGAAATTTACGTCAAGAACAACCGATTAGAAACCAAAACTTTCAGAAAATCAGTAGCATGCAACAGTTTTATCCCACATAATAGCTTCCATAAAAAGACCTGGCTAAACAACATACCGTTTAGCCAATTGAGAAGAATCAAAAGAAATTGCTCAGAACAAGAAGTCTGTGCGGAACAAACAGAAGAAATGAAATTGCAATTTCAAACAAAAGGCTATTCAGAAAATGTTCAAAATGAAGCCTTAAAGAAAACCTCAATTTTAACCAGGGAACACATCCTAACAACTAAAGAAAAAACTAGTACCACAGATCCAGAGGTCCCAGCCTTCATAACAAGATACATAGAAACATAGAAACATAGAATGTGACGGCAGATAAGAACCATTCAGCCCATCTAGTCTGCCCAATTTTCTAAATACTTTCATTAGTCCCTAGCCTTATCTTAAAGTTAGGATAGCCTTATGCCTATCCCACGCATGCTTAAACTCCTTTACTGTGGTAACCTCTACCACTTCAGCTGGAAGGCTATTCCATGCATCCACTACCCTCTCAGTAAAGTAATACTTCCTGATATTATTTTTAAACCTTTGTCCCTCTAATTTAAGACTATGTCCTATTGTTGTGGTAGTTTTTCTTCTTTAAAATATAGTCTCCTCCTTTACTGTGTTGATTCCCTTTATATATTTAAATGTCTCTATCATATCCCCCCTGTCTCATCTTTCCTCCAAGCTATACATGTTAAGATCCTTTAACTTTCCTGGTAAGTTTTATCCCGCAATCCATGAACGAGTTTAGTAGCCCTTCTTTGAACCCTCTCTAAGGTATCAATATCCTTCTGAAGATACGGTCTCCAGTACTGTGTACAATACTCCAAGTGAGGTCTCACCAGTGTTCTGTATAATGGCATGAGCACTTCCCTCTTTCTACTGCTAATACCTCTCCCTATACAACCAAGCATTCTGCTAGCATTTCCTGCTGCTCTATTACATTGTCTGCCTACCTTTTAAGTCATCAGAAATAATCACCCATAAATCCCTTTCCTCATATGTTGAGGTTAGGACTCTATCAAATATTCTGTACTCTGCCCTTGGGTTTTTACGTCCAGGATGCATTATCTTGCACTTATCCACATTAAATGTCAGTTGCCACAATTCTGACCATTTCTCTAGTTTACCTAAATCATTTGTCATTTGGCTTATCCCTCCTGGAACATCAACCCTGTTACATATCTTAGTATCATCAGCAACAAGACATACCTTACCATCAAGACCTTTTGCAATATCACTAATAAAAATATTAAAGAGAATGGGTCCAAGTACAGATCCCTGAGGTACCCCACTGGTGACAAGTCCAAGCTTCGAATATATTCCATTAACTACAACCCTCTGATGCCTGTCACTCAGCCACTGCCTTACCCATTCAACAATATTGGAATCCAAACTTAAAGATTGCAGTTTATTGATAAGCCTTCTATGTGCAGCAGTGTCAAAAGCCTTACTGAAATCTAGGTAAGCAATGTCTACTGCACCACCCTGATCTATAATTTTAGTTACCCAATCAAAAAAATCAATAAGATTAGTTTGGCATGATCTCCCTGAAGTAAACCCATGTTGTCTCTGATCTTGAAATCCATGTGTTTTTAGATGTTCATCAATCCTATCCTTTAATATGGTTTCCATCACTTTCCCCACTACTGAAGTAAGGCTTACTGACCTATAGTTGCCCGACTCCTCCCTATTACCTTTCTTGTAAATGGGCACAACATTCGCTAACTTCCAATCTTCTGGGACTACTCCTGTTAACAATGATTGGTTAAATAAATCTGTTAATGGTTTTGCTAGTACACCACTAAGCTCTTTTAATAGCTTTGGGTGTATTCCATCAGATCCCATTGACTTATTTGTCTTTACTTTTGACAGTTGAAATAGAACCTCTTCCTCTGTAAACTTACGTGTAATAAATGACTCATTTATCCTTTTTCTCAACTGAGGTCCCTTTCCTTCATTTTCATCTGTAAATACAGAACAAAAATATTCATTGAGGCAGTCAGCTAGACCTTTATCCTCTTCTACATACCTTCCTTCTTTTGTTTTTAATATAACTAATCCTTGTTTTACTTTTCTTTTCTCATTTATGTATCTAAAAAATGTTTTATCCCCCTTTTTTACTGACTCTTCTGTGTGTGATTTGGAAGCTCTTATAACTTGCTTAGCCTCTGCCTAATCTTATAGATCATTTTGTCTTCCTCACTCTGGTTTTTTTTATAATTCCTAAATGCTAACTTTTTGTTTTTAACTATTTTGGCCACATCTGCGGAGTACCACAGTGGTTTCTTGAATTTTTGCTTTTACTGACAAGCCTAATGCAATTTTCTGTTGCCTTCAATAGTGCAACTTTTAAATAATCCCATTTCTCTTGGACTCCATTTAAATTGCTCCAGTCTGATAATGACTCTTCTACCCATATTCTAATTTTAGAAAAGTCTGTTTTTCTAAAGTCTTTGTGTGGTGTGACTCAGTCACTGTTCTTATATTAAACCACACTGACTGATGATCACTGGATCCTAAACTTTCACCTACAGTAATATCTGATACCAAATCTCCATTTGTTAACACTAAATCTAGCATGGCCTCTTTACGAGTTGGCTCCTCAACAACTTGTTTTAGAGACAATCCAAGTAGGGAGTTTAGAATATGTGTACTCCTGGCACAAGTAGCTAATTTTTTTTCCAATTTACATCAGGAAGATTAAAGTCACCCATGATCATAACTTCCCCCTTCATTGTCATTTTAGCTACTTCCTCAACTAGTAGATTATCTAACTCTTCAATTTGTCCTGGGGGCCTATAAATCACACCTACACGAGTTACTGTGTGATTACCAAATTCTAACTTAGCCCAAACGGACTCTGTTTGCCTCACTAACTTTTATTAGGCTAGATTTTATGCTATCCTTCACATACAAGGCCACCCACCCCCTTTCTTGCCTTCCCTATCTTTCCTATATAAAGAGTACCCTGGTATTGCTATGTCCCAGTCATTTTTCTCATTGTACCATGTCTCAGTAACAGCGACTAAATCTACACTATCAGTTGCCATTATTGCCACAAGTTCATAGATCTTATTCCCTAAACTGCGAGCATTTGTAGACATGACTCTAAGCTTATCATTTTTTAACACACTTGCTACAGGCACCTTCTGTCCTTGTTTTGGGGGACAATTGGATTGATGTTTTATCACCCTTTTGCCCCTCCCTCCTAGTTTAAATACATCCTAGCAAAACCTCTGAACTGCTCACTGAGAACGTTTGTTCCCTTTTGAGAAAGATGCAAACCATCTTTTTTGTACAGCTTACCTCCACTAATACCTTCATTCCTCTGGAACTCTTAAAACAAGCAGGCATCCCTTTCCCCCAGTAACTGGACGAGACACAGCTTTGGGAGTATAACTGAAAATGAACTGCCATTTATTTTGTTACACCTGGCTTTACAGGCACAGACCCCTACATGGGGTTTCCAACACAATACACAAGGGGCTTCAATCCCAAGAATCTGATGGGGGATGGAGGAGGGAAAAAGCAGATAGGTTAAACAGGAACGACAGTGTCCCTGAGACAATGCCCTTCTATAAGAGGAAGGGGGAGGGGGAAGGTAAAGACAAGCAACTTAACTACACTGCACAGTCTATAGAGCTGCTGCCACTCCACCCCCCTTTGTTGACCGACATCTGCATATACTGACACACACTGCTCTATGTAGAATACAGGCACACAACACAGCGACATCTAAACACATGTAAAACAGTCACAAAAATTGTGCTGCTGTTTCCCAGGAAAAGCTGGAGTCGTGGCTGGCCTCTGGGAAGGAGAGCCGGCTGTGCTCTCCCCCTAGATCTCACTCAGCTGCTGGAGAGCGAAACAGGTTTTCTCCACTCCCAATAATGCACACTGCCGATAGGGAATGAGACTGCTTGTCTCCGTTCCCTGGATCTCACACTGCCGCTGGGGAACAAATTTTTTTATTTATTTTTTTAACAATTCTTTATTTTTGACTTTTTCATATAATAGTTTTACAGAAATGAAAAAAGTAGGTTAATGCACAGTTTGTACATCAAGAATTACAGTAGTTTGTGCAGTATAGTTTCTATTACACGTGGACATATGGTTCCAGCAGTAGGGCGGTCGTCTCTCCCGTGGGGGTTTGGTTTTCGGGGCAGTGCTCCTTGTGGCCTTATCGGGCCCTTGTGGCAATGCTGTCTAGGTACCTGGTCGTCAGGGGCCCGTCTACTATAAAGTTGTAGTGGCTGCTTTTCTAGTGTGATTATGTTGGTTGTGGTCCGGTGGATAAGCACTGTTTGGCATAGGTATGGGTCCCTGTGGGTCTACCCTTCTTTGTGTGCCTGTGCAGATTTTGTCTGCCCGCTGTGGGCTTGTAGCGTTCTTCTCTCCTGGGGGTCCTGTTTGCCCTGGTTGGTATGTCCGTGCAGGGGTTGTTTAGGGTAGATGGTGGGTAGGTGTAGAGTGGGAGAGTAGGTCAAGAACAGGAAAAACAGAGGAAAAGAAGAGTAGTTTGGGTATCAGGGTTCGTCGCTGCACACGGCCCTAGCCAGGTGGTTGGGTGGTGCTGTGGGGCTAAGGGTAGCTATGTCGGGCACGTAGTCCTCAGTCTGTCCATTTGCAGTCCATCCCTTGGCCTGTGTTTTTCCGTGTTTATCCCTTTGGCTGTGTTAGTGTCTTTACCATGGTAGGGAGGTGTCTCCCTCCAGCCATGGGTCCCACACTTTGTGGAAATGTTTAGGTGTGTCGTGGATTTGTGATGTAAGCTTGTCCATGTGTATGACGTCCTCTATTTCTTTGGTGATGGTTGTTTGTGTTGGTATGCGGAGTGTGGACCATACTTCTGCTATTGCCCTGCGTGTTGCCAGGGCTACGCGGACGCCCAGTTTGTTTTCTGCTCTGGTAAGGGACTGTATAGGTTTTGAGAGCTGAAGGGCCCAGGGATCCAATGGGTTTGGTTTGTGCAGGAGTTTTTTTAGTAGTGTGGTGACCCAGGGGAGGGCTGGGCTGGGGCAATTGCCCCCCAGGCCGTCCTAAATCCTTTTAAGACCGGCTGCTGCAGGGCCGGTCCTAATGCTGCAGC